CCCCTGATCTCGGCCCGCTTCCTCGCCCAGCGTCCGCGCCCTCCTCTTCTCCTCCCTCTGTCCCCCTTTCGCGTCCCTCGTGCCTCGAGTTTGCTCCTCGTATCCCCGTCATCTCCCTGTCACGCCATCAGCCCGGCCGCCCCTGCACACCGTCCGCCTGTGGCTTTCTCGCTCGCGTGCTACTGGGGCTGGAGGCGCGTGAAGCGTCAAACGCACTCGCCCCCCTGCTCTACCACAGGGTCAAGACGCTGGATCGAGGACAACGTTGGGCTGAGGAGGGGCTCCCGGTTTCGGGCCGCTGTGGGTTTCCAGGTCGGGGGACGCACTCGCGGCCGAGGCTCGCATTGGCCAGATAAGCCCCTTCGTTCTTTGCCCAGCGTTCCTGCTGGTAGCACGACGAGTGTACGTGCTGGCGGCGCACACGGCGTCAAAAGCACTCGGCTCTCTGCTCTTCCGCCGCATCTGCGAGAAGGCCCCGCTGAAATTTCGCCGCACACCCCTGGGACCTCTAAGTCGGAGTGGTGCAGGCAGCCAGAGCAAGAGGGGGAGGATGAGGTAGGAGGATGAGGGGGGGAAGGAGGAGGAGGAAGAGGAGGAGGAGGAGGAGGCGGCGGAGGAGGAGGGAGAGGAGGAGGGAGAGGAGGAGGAGGAGGAGGAGTGAAGAGGAGGAGGAGGAGGGGAGTGAGGGAGGGAAGAAGGGATGAGGAGAAGGACGAGGAGAAGGAGGAGGAGGAGGAGGAGGAGGAGGAGGAGGGAGGAGGAGGAGGGAGGAGGAGGAGGAGGAGCAGCAGGAGGAGGAGGATGAGGAGGAGGTTAAACGGCAGCGCGAGCGCCCTCGCGTCGCGCGACGCTGGCTCCGTCGGAGGCCCTCCCAGTTGCCCCCGCGACGGCGCACCGCCGCTCCCAACGCTCCTCCTCCTCCTCCTTCTCCTCCTTTTCCTCCTCCTCCTCCTCGTCCTCCTCCTCCTTAGACCTTGCTCGCGTATCTCTCGAATGAGAAGAACAACGGTGAACACATAAACTTTGGCAGTTCCTCGAGGTGCTCTTGGATCTGCGCTGGAACCCCCTGGCGCCGCCTCCGTCGCCGCCCCTGGCGCGTGGAGCGATCCAGGGATGGGGGCCTCCGAACGTTTATGTTTATGACGTGCTCGATTCCACTATTCAATACCGCGTGCTCCTCGCGCTGCAGACGACCAGTGTCAGGCAAGATCCCGCCCCGACAAAAGCCGGGCTGTGACTGTGTCGTCGGTTTCTGGAGGTCTCTTGTCCTAGGAATGCGCTTCATCAGCTGCGCCTCGTCATGGATCTTCTGGGGTTTTCGGTGTTCGCAGTTCGAGGTTCGAGATTCGGCGGAGGATAAGTCCGTACGGAGTAAGTCCATACGGAGTGCTGGGCTTCCGTATGGATTTATTCTGTCTGGATTTCGCCTCTCTTGAGAGGAGGTGAAGTCAATACAGAGTGAGTCCATACGGACTGCTCGGTCTCCTTCTGGACTTCCCCCGTCTGGACTCCGCCTCTCCTGATGTTCGGGCGCTCTGGTCGGTCCTCGTCGGTCTTCCAGCCTCGGGATGCCTTCCAGCGGCTACGCCTGGCCGTGAGGCCCAGGACGGCTGCACGAGGCCCGAGCTATTCGGGTGCCGATTTTTCCTTTTTTCCCCGGGGGGTAGGGCGGGGCGTCAGAACCAGAGCGCTTGAGTTGCCTGTCGACCTTTCTACCATTCGGTTCTTTGTGTGTACGTGTGTGTGTGTGTGTGTACGTGTGTACGTGTGTACGTGTGTGTGTGTGTACGTGTGTACGTGTGTGTGTGTGTGGCAGTGGCCTGCCTGGCCAACTGCCTCCCTCCCGCCCTGTGCCCTGGCGGCTCTCTTTTCGCAGCACTGCGCCTATTCGGTGCACCCCCCCGCATCTCCAGCTTCCGCTCGGGGCCGTCCTTCTGCTGCGCGCCTGGGCGGGGAAGTGAGAGGGGGCCGGCCTTCTCAGAAGGCTCGGAAGGCTTCGGGCCTTCTCAGAAGGCTCGCATGGCCCCTCGGGCCTTCCAGAAGTTTGTTTCTGGGCCTTCCCCGAAGACGCAGGAAAAGCCTCCCCGAAGACGCAGGAGAAGCTTACCCGAAGACGCAGGAGTAGCCTGGCCGCCTTCTGAGAGGGGGTCTTCTCCTTCTCCTCCCCCCCCCTCGCTCGCCGCCGAGCCCCCCTCTCCAGGAACCACTGGAGCGACTGGGACCGCAAGTGGGACGGGGGCTGGGGCGGCAGCTGGGGTGGCGGGTACGGCAGCAAGGGCTGGGGCAAGAGCAGCCGGGGCGACTACAGCAGCAGGGGCGGCTACGGCAAGGACCGGCGGCCACTGCCCGCACCGAGCGGTGCCCTGGGGCAGGGAGGGCCGGGTACTCCAGCTACCCACTGCCGTCGAGATCTTCTCCCACCTCTCGAAGAGGGTATCGACAACATGATTGATTTACGCTTTTCCGTCGAATCTACGAAAAGAACGTAGAAAGGCCAATCGATCTACTGAACTTTCTACGTTTGTTTTCTAAAATCGGCGGACACATTCTGAGTTTAATCAGGGAATCCAGGCGGGATGACTTCGGCAGTTTTGTCGGCCTCCAGGGGCTTCTTCGCCAGGCTGCAGGACCTCCCAAAAACAAAAACGACTTGGGAGAAAGATCCGGCCCCAGGGAAGGGCTGCAGATCTCTGGGGGTCCACGTTGTATATTACACCTGGGAAAACCCAATCAGTGGATGATTTGAAAATTGATGCTATGGATCTTGCGATCGATTGTGAGATCGATAATGAGATTGATTGTGTAATCGACAGTGAGGACGATTGTAAGGTCGATCGTGAGACCGAGAGTGAAATCGATTCAATGAGATCGATAGTGAGGTCGATCGCGAGATCGCTCATGCGATCTCTAGTGAGATCGCTTGTGAGATTGATGGTGAGATCGATTGTAAGATCGATGGTCAGATCGATCGAGAAGTCGGTAATGAGATCGATGGTGCGACCAGGAACCCGGGAAACCGGGAACCTCGCCGCCCTCCGAAATCGGCCCAGAACCGGGAACCCAGGAACCCGGAACCGGGAACCCCGGAACCTGGGAACCCAGCTTGCGACCAAAATTGGCGGGGCAATATCGCAAAATCCATCAACATCCGCGAGGACCCCTTCAGTGCAAGCACTGATTGGGGAACATTGAATGAGATCCGTAATGAACTCGACATTGAGATCGGTAGTGAGATCGATAATTGACCATCGGCCCGGAACCAATGATCAGGAACCCGGGAACCCGGAACCGGGAACCCAGGAACCAATCAAATCAGTGAGAGTGAACCATCGGCCCAGAACCAATGACCAGGAATCAACCCGGGAAGCCAGGAACCCGGAACCGGGAACCCGCGAACCCAGCGTGCTACCAAATCGGCGGGGCAATATCGCAAAATCTTTCAACATTGAATGAGATCCGTAATGAATTCGACAGTGTGATCGGTAGTGCGATCGATGGTTAACCATCGGCCCAGAACCAATGATCCGGAACCCGGGAACCCAGAACCGGGAACCCGGGAACCAATGAGATCCGTAATGAATTCGACAGTGAGATCGGTAGTGTACCATCGGCCCGGAACCAATGACCAGGAACCCGGGAACCCAGGAACCCGGAACCGGGAACCTGGGCACCCAGCGTGCCACCAAAATCGGCGTTTTTTTCCGCCCATTCTAGCAACATCCACGAGGATCCCTTCAGTGCAAGCAGTGATTGGGGAACAAAAAACACGGCGTCGGCCTCGGTGTCCAGATCGGGCCGATTGGGCAACAGTGGTTTCCTCGCGCGACGCTCATGCATTATCTAAAATGCTCTCCCCCATCGCGTTTCGCACTTCAGCGCGCGCTTCGAGAAGTGACCTCTGGAGCAACAGGCTTGCGAGGGGTTGTCGAGCATGGTGCCAGCATCAAGGCAAGGCGATGGCGGGGAGGGTCTCCCTCAGATCTCGGATCAGGTGCGCCGCCTTGCTAGGATGCAACTCCTGGGAGGTAACATTGCGTTGGTTCATCCGCGGTCGATGCCTGGCCTAACCCCGCTTAGTCCCTCTTAGTCCGGCCTCCTTCCGCTGAGTCCAGCATACGGGGGGCGTTCGTTATGGAACGTGCCCATGAGGCTTCAGACCCTGGAGGGTTTCTGCTCTAATGAGGGAGGCGGTGATATCCATGGCCAGTTCACGATTGGAATTCTGCCAGCTTCCAGGGATTCCTTATCCAATGCCCTCACCGTGCTCCAGCTGAGTCCTGGCTTGATCTGGCCCTATCAGGCCCATAGTGGCCTCCCGATCGGACTTCGTCGCCCTCAGTCGCTCTGACGACGACGTGCGAGCCCGCTTCTCCTCGCGCGCAGCTGTCCCCTCGCGCGCCCCGCGCCTCGGGCTCTGCATACGCGCAGCCCCTCGCCAGGACTACGGCGACGACTACTACGGCGGCGGGGACTGGTACCGGAGGCGCTGGAAGTCCCCCGTGCCTTCCTGGTGGCAGGACTGGCGCCCTCCAGAGAGTCTGCCGAAGAAGAACAAAACGCGACAAACACGAACTTTTGGCGCCCCGCGCGGTTTCTTGGATCCGCGCTGCCCCCCCCCCCCCCCCTCCCGCGGCGGCGCCTCCAGCGCCGCCCCTGGCGCGCTCCGCGCGCCAGGGAGGGGGTCTGGCGCAGAGCCGAGAAATCCGCGCGGAGCGCCAAAAAGTTCCTGCTCCCCCAGACGTCTGACGTCTCGATTTTTCCGAGACACGCCCCCCCGACCTCCCGACCACTTCCCCGGGACGGGTTTCCCATCCCTTGTCGTTTCTTGACGCTCCCGAGGCCCGGCGAGGACCTCGAGAGGCCGAACATCTGGAAAAACCTCCGTCTCGATGTCTTCGAGACGCCCGGCGTCTGGGCCTATAGCGTTCCTTGCTCTTCTCGAGGGGGCGCCCGCCGGGGCCCCGCCTCCGAGCCGGGGCGCCCCAGCCCACGGGGGCGGGGGCGCGCGGCAGGGGCCGCTGCGGCCAGAGGGCCGACGCAGGGCAGAGCAGGCCCGAGGCGGTGCGGCCGCTCTTCGGGGGACAGGGGTGCTCGTGCTCCCCTCCGTTCGGATGCAACTCCTGGGAGGTCAAGTTCTGATGTTGCCCTGGTCCGAAGTCTTGCTCAATCCGGCTCGATCCCGCTGAATCCCGCTCAGTCCCGCTTAATCCGGCCTAATCCCGCATAATCCGAGGCCCACCCCGGCGTAACAGCTCCCAAATGGGGACTAATCCTCCTGCATCTGTCCGACGAAAACCTCCCAGTAGTTGCCCCCTCCCCCCGCTCGTCTCCATCGCGCTTCGCGGAGGAGCCCGTCCGCGCGGCGGGCAGGCCGCTTCGCCCCGGACCAGATGGGGAAGCAGGAGGAGAGGAGCCGGAGGGAGGAGGAGCAGCAGCAGCAGGAGAAGTTGTAGGAGTGGGAGGGGGAGAAGGAGCTTCGCCCTGGACCAGATGGGGAAGCAGGATGCGAGGAGCCGGAGGGAGGAGGAGGAGGAGGAGCTGCAGCAGCAGCAGGAGAAGTTGTAGGATTAAGGCGGGTGTGTCCATCTACAGGGGGAATGTTCAAGAATAGTCCAAGAATAGTCCGGGGACGATGATTTGAATGCTTTCGACCTTTTGGGGGTATTTTTTGGGGGTCTCTTTCATTTTCTCCTCAAAGTCTGCTTTTAGGGGGGCCTGTCCGACTTGATTGTAGGAGCAGGAAGGGGAGGAGGAGCAGCAGCATCCGCCACGCGACAGAGCACCTCGAGCCAGCAGCAGCCAGCCCCCGAGAGGCAGGCCCGAGAGCGGGCGGGCGGGCGGGCCCGGACGAGCCGCCGGGCGGACCCTTCCAGGCGGGCAGACCACCGTTACGCGTGGAGTAGCAGACAAAGGGTGAGCGGTTTTTTATTTGGCTTCCCGACACTGGGCGGAAGGGGGGGGAGGGGAGGGGGTGTCCGGCTCTGGACCTCTGCTTCATGCGACGGTTTGAACCGCGCGTTCTATGGGGGAGACTCCACCTGCTCGAAACAGGCGCCAAAAACAGGCAAGATCTAAACATTGTTCATTTCTAATTCTTCGAAAGCTCGTTGGTTTTGGGGGGCCGAGATCCTTTCATTTCTAAGTGTTCTATCCTGGGCCTCTTCCTGGCCACTAGGGGGCCAGGAAGAGTTAGAAATGAGCACAATTAGAAATGAACATGATTAGCAATGAGCGACGAGTACTCCATGGTGGGGGGGTGGAGGGGGGGGGGGGCGAGGGCCCGCGCCGATCGGCAAAACAATGAGTAAAAAAACGATCACCAAGAGCGGGCGGGAGAGCCCCCAAAGGGCGGGCCTCTCAGAAGTGCTTTCCACAGCTCCCGCTCCCGTTCGTCCAGGTCGGCGTCGCGGCGCCCGAAGATGAGCTCGCTGCGCATACCCTGCCCGCATACGCACGCAACGCCTCCTGCCCCGTGTCATGCGCCCTCCTCTCATTCCTGATGTCATCGCCCTTGCTCTCTTCAGCAGGCTCGCCGAGCGGATTTCCGAGACAGTGCTCCGTCCCCTGTGCGTGATGTTGGCATGGACATGCCTGACAGAAAAGCCCGCCCGTTTCCCAACGGCAGTACAGAGCGCAGTAATCAAGGCACACCTTGGCGAGCGGTTTACTCCGTAAAGACCCCCATTGGACATGCAGGCTTGTCCTTTCGGCTACCCTGCGCAGCAGGACAACAAAGCACGCTATTGCTACAGTGGCCCACTTGGGAAGCTTGTGACACCGCCGGGGCCAGACCCCCTCTTCACGGACTATCTCCTCGTCGCGTCTTGGGTACCACCCGGCAAATTCGTGCGACGAAACATTCTAGCCATCGCCACACCGCGAGCTCGACTTGCACAGCTCGCTCGCTACAGCCGCGCTGAGCCGCTCCGCCCATTTGAGTGATAGGCCTCGAACGGGCTTCCTGGCGCCACTGCTCCTAATCCTCATCCTCATCCTCTTCCTCCTCCTTCTTTGCCCTCCTTTTCTCATCCTCTCCTCCTCCTGCTCTCATGCAGGCCTCCGTGCCTGCAGGGCCAGATCGACCTGGTCTGATCTTGCCCACCGCCCGCCCCCCCCCCCATGTGGCCGGCCTTGACCGGGCCAACCGCGCACACTCCCCCATGCCACATAGCTCAGGGGCAACGATAGGGGGGATAGGCACAGGGGGGGATGCATCGACTCACAATCGCCCATTGATCGCCCAGGAAGGTGCGGACTCACTATCAGGGGCCTATTGCCGATCTATCGGCGATGTATCGCCGATTCCAGGTCGATGCACCCCCCTCTACATCAATCCCCCCCTATCGTTGCCCCTCAATAGCATATTCTCCAGTCAGCCTCCAAAGCGTCGGTCTGCCTGCTCCTGGTTCCCACCACGCGGCTGGCCACCCGACCGTGGCCGCCAGGACCGAGGAGGCAAGAGCGGCGGCAAGGACCGGGGAGGCAAGGGCGGCGGCAAAGACGGAGGACGCGGGCGAGGGAAATCACACGTCAGAAGTCCGAGCACATACCATGACAAAACGAATGCAGAAACTTGGAGGAGGAGGAGGAGGAGGAGGGGGCGGCCAAGCAGAGGCGGTCCGCTCCAGCCTGTGGCCATTCGGGGCAACCAGATGTGTAATCGGCCGGTATGCAAGAGAGGAGAGGAACAAGACGAATGCAGAGAAATGAGTTTTCGAAGGTTCGAGTGGACTCATCGGATCGGCGCTGGACTTCTCGGGCGGCGCCTCTGGCACCGCCCATGGCGCGCTCCGCGCGGAGGGGAATCACTTCGCGCGTTCCACTACTCGCAGATTACCTACTCGCACACGTTCGAAAACACACATGCTTGCCTCGATGTACTGGATCGTGAATCCCCCGCGGCGAGTCCCAGCCATTTGCGAGCAGTTACTGTTTGTGGGTAGTGGAGCGCGCTTGTCTAGGGACGGGGGCCCACGCGGGCCCTCTGAGACCGAGGGTGCATGCCGTTCTGGTGTGTGCTTCTTGCGATGCGGCGGGCTTCTATGCATAACAACCGCCTGCGTGATCGCTTTCGGGGGACCTCGGCGCGCGGCGGGAGTGGATCTATTCGGTGCCCTGGGTGAGTCATATTATTTATGTTGTATATATGCGTGTATATATATATATATACATACACATACATATCGATATGTGCATACATGTACATATAATGTAGAGATTGATGTAGATGAATCTAAACATATGTGAAAATACATGCAACATGGGCGTGCAAACCTGAACATAGGTGTAACATAGGTTGGGATATGCATAGAGTACATAGGTGTAACATTGGTGTGCGATCATATACATACATGTAAATACATACACATATACATAAATATACATCCACCGCCCGCTGAGGTTCCGCAATATCGATCCCACTGGATGTGGTCGTGCATACGTCCCCGCTTGCAGGAGCACCACAAGCGGCATGAGCATCACCTTTCGGCGATCCCTGCAAGGTGGCCCAGAGCGCCGTCCCAAGAGATCCGTGCGGACCTTGGCACAGTGCCATGGTTTGAACATGTTCTAAACATGTTTCAGACGTGTTTAGGACATTTTTCCTTCATGTTGAACACATGTTGAATTCAATGATAGGACTGTTAAGGCGTCCATTGTCGTGGCATCCACAAGGATAGCGTGTCGCTCCGCCAGCTCTGGCCCACCACGCTTCGGCGCGACGCGCTAAAACACGCCGCGGCCCACGAAGGCCCACGCCCAGAGCCGTGTCCCGGAAACCAGGCCGCGGAGTGGAGCGAGACACCCTCTGTGTTCGCACGGCACAGCAGGTCGCCCACAGGCCGCCGCCGCCGCCACACTCCCTGGGGAAAGGTTCCTGACAGCACACTGCTCTGGCGCTCCTCTGCACGGCAGGTTCGCGCCATGTCGTTTCGGCGACGCGGCGCCGTCCCCCCGGGCGGGCGCTCGGCGGCCGACGGTCGGCCAAGACTCAGAACGATCAGACGATCGAAACGCCAGCGATCATTCAGCGCTGGCCAATCCGCGCGGGGTTAGACAACGACGCCAGGGTCGCCCCGACGCAGACCTGCAGCATGCTGTGTCGTGCTATTCTGCTCCTGGCGGCGCGCACCGAGGGTCAGGTGGAGGGGGGGAGGGCTTCTCAGAATCGGGCGAAGAGAACTATGCACATGCACCGGCCCTGGCAAGGCTCATCCCTGACCCAGGATCGGTGCATATGCCTTCCTGGCCAAGGTAGGAGGGCGTATGCACCGATCCTGGGCTCAGGGTCTGGCCTGGCCAGAGTCGGTGCATGTGCATAGTTCTTTTTCCTCTATCAGAAGCACCCTTTTTTCTCAGAAGGCGCGGGCCTTGTCTGCAGATGTGGGGCCGGTGCCCTGCAAAAGGCTGCCGCCTTCCCCGACCCCCGACGCCGCGATGTTTTTTTACAGCGTCGGCCCCCCAGAGGTCTGGGCCCCTGCTCCGGGACAAGGCCTTCATCCGGAGTGGTTTTGTTGGCGGCCCCGAGGCTCGGTAAGGGCCCCGGGAGGCAGAGCGTCGCGAGAGACAAGAAAAACGTAAAGTCTGGACGTCGCCATGCGACTCCGCTAAGTACCACTGCCCCCCGGCGATATCGACTGCGCCGACAGTGGCGATGGTTTCGAGCAAACCAAGAAACGTCGCGGTTGTTTTTTCACCACGCGAGGGGGTCTGGGTTCTGCGGCGCCTGCCCCCCTCCCCCGGACCCCCCTGTGTGCGCGCCGCCAGCACGCGTTCACCGCCAGAGCTTCGTGGGCCCATAGTATGGGTCGGGTGGTGGTCCTGGTGCGCCTCGGAACGCTCGGGACGGGGGAGGTGGCGCGGAAGGCCGCCGGGAGCCGGCGGGGGCAACTGTCGTCGCCCCCTCCCAAGAGACAGTCTGTTTCGTTTTACGCCGGCCATTCGCCTTGCCCCAGGGAAGGAGGGGGGGCGCGGAGAGGCCCAGAAGGAAAGTTCCGGGCTC